GATCTCAACATGGACCGCTGCAGTCATATATTGAAGTTTTCTCTGATGATGATTGCTGAATATCCAGGTTTTGGGCTATTTCATTGCGTTGCAAGTTTAATGTCGTGTTTAACAGCAACGTTTGGCAATTCTATCATCATTTGCGCTTTCCGAAAAGCCTCTTCAATGAATCCAGCCTCGAGAATACTTCTACTTAGTGTAGCTGCTTCTGACCTTGGTGTGGGTTTATTTGTGCAGCCTACAAACACCGCCATAATGGTAAAATTGCTGGTTTTCAAGAACATTCATGGTGACGTAGCCAATCCTGACCTGTACCTGATGTGTCCTCTTGTTAAAACCTGGCAGTTTCTCTCGATCTTCTTTGCCGGTGCGTCGTTGTTAACAGTCGGAGCCATTTCTATCGACAGGTTTCTTGCTCTGTATCTTCATTTGAGATATCGGCAAATAGTGACTACATCTCGAGTAGTCGCCGTGGTAACGGGTATCTGGATAACAGCATTTCTGACAGCCATGCTACAGACATTGACAGTTTTTAATGACATTATTAACCTAACTGGTGAATTACTGGTACTCGTAATGGCTTCATTCGCTTACATCACGATTTACAAAATTGCTCGTCGCCATCACAATCAGATTTACGGCCAAGCTCAGCTTGAAAATCAAAACGATCAAGTAACACAACTGTCTCGCGCGAGGAAGTTGGCCATCAACAGTCTTTATATTTATGTTATAATCATAATATGCTATTTTCCTTCGCTTTGCATTTCTCTTATTTTCACCATGTCACGGACGCCTGGTTCTCTGCTCACGTTATGTTACTACTTGGGGGCTTCGCTAGTGTTTTTTAATTCTTCCTTAAACCCGCTAGTATATTGTTGGAATCTCCGTGAAGTCCGAGAGGCAGTCGTGGACACTTTAAAGAGCCTGTTTTCAAAATTTATTCCTTGTAATAATCCGGAAAAGATTTCTCAGCAGCAAACCAGCTGAATGCAAATTGTGCGTTTTCCAACTGTCCGCCATTAACTAAAGAGGGCAACCATACATTTTCACTATCGTTCATTAACGGCCGGTCGTTCTGTTAAGAAGATCAGTTATGTTTACTGTTAGTTTAAAGTTTGAGAAAATATTCTTTGTTATTTATCCGTCTCCACTTTAAATGAGAAGATTTTAACAAGACGTTCTGCACATTTTAAACCTTACGGGGCACGAAATGCAAATTTACACTTTTGGAGTCTGCAAATTAAACTTGCTTTACAGTAATATCTTGTGAAGGCACAATATACCAGTCATAATAATACCGTATGGTAACTTATTTAAGTTTCAACGCGATATTGTCAGCCAGAAAGAATGTACACCAATTGCCGTAGAAAATACGCAGTTTGATTTTCAGCGGTTTACGCTTTGACAGTTGACTAACACGGTCAATTGGCGGGAGCGAGAAAGGTGAAGCCACGCGCCTAAACCCAGGAACTCGAACTTCTGGTTTGATTAAAGAACAAAATTGTCCTTTTTTTCCGTTGACCGGAATGAGGGGAAGTAACCTGAACTAATTGTTTTCTCTTGTATTTTAAATTCTGTGGTGTTGGTAAATACTGCCGAAACAAAAACAAACAAACAAACAAATAAATAAACAAACAAAACAAAACAAAAAATGAAAACAAAAAAAAAAAAAGCAAATCAAAACAAAACAAACGAAGCAAAACAAAACGAAAGAAAACAGTGAGGCCACACTTTTTTTTTTAGTTAAGCAGTGTGTGGTAATTATTTATCAGAAGTGTTTATTTCGCTACTTCTGTTCTTATGTTTGTAATGATGTAAATAGCATTAATACATTGTCTTGCAAACATGTCATAAGAATAAAGAATATCATCAATGAGGTGATGTGTGTACTGGTTTCTGTCTCTGTATGACTCAGTTTCTTAGTTATTAAAGGCCCGTTGTGGGCCGACAAAAATTGCAAAGCCGACTGTATTTCAAGCCGTCTTGCGGGGTATTGGGAAAAGTTTTCAATCAGCAATAACCGCGCCTCGGATGAACCTCACTGGCTACGGTAATGCCACTGCGCAAAGCTAACTAGATGGCTGTCCAGATGTAAAAGTTATGGAGGGAGAGATCTCCTCAATTGTGGGACTGTTGAGAAACACATTTTCCCTGAAATGTCCAAATAAAGATGCACACTTTTATAAAGTGTAAGAATTTGGCATGTTAAGTAATTAATTGTTCATGCTTAAAAAAAACCCTCGCTACCTCTAGATGTCTGAAATTTCAATGCTGCGCATGCGTAAACAACAGCAATTTGCTTTGGCAGCATTTTTGTTTGACTTGCGAAACTGCGCGGACAAATGAAACCAGCTCTTGGGGACTGGAACCGTGCTGGAAAAATAAAGAAGAGAGCGTAAGTAATGACGCCAGCGACGCCAGAGACGACGGCTGAAAAAAAGTGGATTTATATTTTACCTTTGAATTTCGCAACTATCTAGAGCTGTTCAGTGTGCCGAGCGGTCTAAAACCCTACTCAAAGTAAAAATGTAACGCCAACGATCAATTTTGAGAAGAAAAATAAATACGAAAAATTAGCCAATATGGCTCACGTCTTCAAGATACGCAAAACATGGTGATTTCACGTTGTTGTCTTGCAGAGGACGGCAAAGAAATGTACAAAGATTTATAATGAACGCACACTGACAGCCATGCACTGCTCATTAAATCTATTGTTTGGTGACGTTCTCGATGCCGTCGCCGTCGTGCTTAGCTTAAGCCCCCAAATAAAAGGGAGAATAACTAAAAGAGAACCTGTGAATATAAGATTAATTTCAATATTTGAAAAAGGATTAGTATTAGGCAAACAGAAAGTTAATTAGGATGCAAGTTTGGTTTCACATCTAATTGGAATTTAAGAATACTGCATTTCGAGGAAGAACGAAATGCAAACAAACCGTTGCAGCATTACGAGAACTACTAAAAAACGCTAACTTATTATGATTTAGGGGCTTAGAACACTAACCTAGCCACAATCACATTGGAATGCATTGCCTCCTTGTAATGCCATGTTACCTTTGTTAGCGTCTTTTCGTCGGAGGTTAACTTTAAGATACGGTTTCTCTTATTATAAATTTAATCAGTTGGGTTAGGTGAAGAAACTAACGAATAACAAATAACGAATAACGAATGACGAATAACCAATAACGAAGACCTAATAACAAATAACGATAACGAATGTCTATCACCGACCGCAGCCCTGGAAGCAGTATTTTCAGTCACATCAAGAAACTAAGATTAAGTTTATTTTTGTAAGTGACGTCGTTCAGTTAAGTAATCTACTAGAAATCTTACTTTTCTTTTTATACAGAATTAATCTTTGATCTGCACCTGATCAGGTATGCAAAGACCCACGTCGCACGGAAAAATATGTCATTGACATATGTTTTTCAACAACCAAACGCTGCAAACATTATCTCCAAAAAACCTTTCACAAAACAGGTGCTCATATAATTGCTTTTTTTCTCCCAAAAGCACAATGATCCTTTCTCATTTATTGCTTACATCACGTTAATTTTAATTACTCGTAATTCTGTATTTACTTAACCATAAAAGAACTGACATTGCATAATTATTAACATTATTCTCTTTTCCTCTTTGGAGGTGGTTTAAATTTCAGAGGTGCGGTTGAAATTTTGACAGCGAGCAGATATATCTCTGTTAGGATTCTTTATTATGGCTATCATTATCCTCTTGGAATTAGTACTTTGTGTGAACGGAAATAATTAAAAATTTTCATTGATTCTAAAAGGTAGGTGATCGAGCTCTAGAATTTTAAGGTAGCATAGAAATTTAAACATTTTCCGTTCTTTTATTTTTATTTTAATGCGAACGACGCCGTTTTTCAGTTAGTATAGATTTGAAATCTTTGTAGCAATCTGTTAATTTTCAGGAGATGACTTTTGCATCGAGTTTATGAATTGAAACAGCTTCACGCATATCAGATAAATCTATTTTAAACTTTTATTGTTTCATAGGTTGCCAGGCCCGTTTTCGATTTTCAAACACCTATCTTAATTGACTTTTGCTTGGGTCTTCAATTACCATTAATCAAAGATCATATAAAATTGAACACCTTTCCCAGCTGAACGTAACACCAGAATCGACATTTTAGAAGTCATTCTCTGCTTCACCTGAACATTCTACTCATGATGATCCTTGCTGTGCGATGTTATTCTCAATTAATTTGCAGGCGAGGTTCTAATCCCTGTTTATATTGATCCTACCGGAAGTGAAACGATTGAAAGCGATCGAGATGTAATCAACCCCTAAATGTAGGCCGAAATCACGGAATCAGAGTCTTCATAGTGGAATTTGTTTTGCCCTAAGGTGGATATGAACCGCAGTACGACTGTCCTTCTTCGTGACTTAGAAGACGACCAAAAATCGCGAGAAATTCATGAGCTTCCATTGTCGATCTTTCGGCAATTTTCAAGCAAGAACAATGCGAATCGCCCACGTTCCTCGACGAGTATTCTTCGACGAAGCATTTCAGATTCAGTTGAAAGAAATCTCTGTCACCGCGTGGGGCTGCATCAGGTACTTTAATATATAGACTTACACTTGGGTAAACGTCAGCGATTTCATTCAACGGTTCAAGGAAGAACTCAGTGTGGCACGATGAACGAAAGAAAAAGAAACGCCCAAATTTGAACGCCCAGCGCTAGTAACACTAATCGCAAATTTTCGTTGTATTCCTCTTTCATTTATCAATTCTCGTTGAGACCCGCATTGCTGAGGTTAATGATGAATTCAAAAGAAATTTAACAGCCAGACCATTCGTGACAAAAAAATGCTCATCTCGTGTTAATTGTCTAGCCATTGACATTAATTTGGCAAGACCTAAAATTGCCCTGCTGTCAATTTTACGTGTATTCTAAGGTCTTACCATGCAGACGTAAATACTGGGGCTCATAACATAACACTGCATTTCATTCATGTCGATGGAAATCAAATAAAAGAAAACTCTAGGAAATCGCTTCATTGAAATAGACATAATTTTGTTCTTTTCAACAGCGAGATTTCCATGACTTTCGAGGCCACTGAAATGCGACGTACATATTCGGCCTGAGGGAACCTGAATATGCTTTTGATGGGCTTTCAGATTCAGTTCAATCAGCATAAACAAATGTAATTTTTTTCATAATGACGCGTTAATTTATACCGTTAAGGTGAAACGATAATAAATAATAAAAGCCTGAGAATTTTAACATTGGTAAGCAAAGAAATAAAACGTGCTAATGATCGCACATAAGTCACCTAAGATAAATTTTAATAGGAGTCGAACTGTTGACCTTCCACAGCAGCGTCGATTAAGTTTTTTTTCAAATAAACTGATAAATGCAAACTTCATTAGTTATAGATCGTGCTCCCTTTTTTTTTTTTTCCACAGGCTTGTCGTGAAGGTATTGTGGATGTTGTTCGGACATTGCTACAAGGGAGCGTACCAACTATCAACACTTTAGACAAAGAAGGGTTCGCTCCACTCCACTACGCGGCTCGTTATGACCGCGCAGGAATTGTGCAGCTGCTCATAAGTGCAGGCGCAGGTAAAGGTATCCACTGTTATAATTTAGTAGCCAATCAGCTGTGTTCTTTTGAAAATCAGCGAATCTGATTGGTTCTCTCATTGTTTTCTAGTCGCTGATAGACATTAATCGGGCACGAGTATCTTTTTAAACTGAAAATTATTTTTAATTTTAGGCTAAAAATCACAAAATTATAGGTTTTGTGCTGTACTCCTTGAGAGTGTCTACTAAAATAATAAGACAACTCACCCTTGTTTTATGAGCGACAGTCAACTCGGCTAGGTCCCGTTGACTATTCACTCACTGAAAATTCGGGCTCGTAGTCTTATCGTTAAATACTGAATTAATGTCAAATAGTTTTCTTTTTTGTTAAGTCAGTAAGGTTGGGAAGCGAAAATTACTGTTTCCTATATTTCGCAAACCAATTAAAATGCTCTCATTTTCAAATGATTTCCATTCTCAGCCAACTTACATGCTTGTATATGGCGAAAACTTCGGAAAACGTTGTAACAGTAAACAACTTGAGTTTTGTGGCAGGTGATTTTTTTAACTTCTCAGACTTATTTCGTTAATGACAGATCTAAATGTTTGCTCTGATGGTGACAACAAGTTTACCACGCCACTGCAAATAGCGGCAAGATTCAACAGTCCTGACACAGCACACTTGCTGATATTAAATGGAGCAGATGTAGCAAAGCAATCTAATTATGGTCAGCAGGCTTTACATTACGCTGCAAGACGAGGAAACTTGAAAGTTGTTCAGGTGGGTCTCATCACTACAAAATGATAGAGTCAGATAAATTTTATTTCCTTACTTATAATTTTTCTTGCCTTACATGTATGAGGATGAGTGTGACATGTATTTTGTTTTTGATGTGCGATAGAGCAGTTTTCAATTGAGTGTGGAAAGTAATCAGGCAATTATTACTTTGGTTTTGATTTTAACTACGGTTTTAGATTCGCTGAGTAGTCTAATTGGTAAGTAATTAGTTTAGTTTTGGTTTTACGACACTCAATTGAAAACTGCTCTAACTCTGAAAAGAAATGAATGTTACACGCTAAACTAGGCAAATTGGAATAAAAATGATATCGATACTTTGTTCTTCCAAGGGAACTGGTAGCTCAAAGCATGATTGAACCATTAAGGATTATCAGGAGCCAGATTATGGCTCCTGGGATTATTTAATGTGTGCTTTGATTGTAGTCTAGGTTTTGTAAATTTTAAAAAAGGGTTTCCGTTTATGGAGCATCAGTTTTACAGTGTAGCAGATGTTACTGTTTTGGAGCCAGGAACATTGTTTCTGCTTTTCCAGGGGCATCGAGCTCTTTATGTAAGACCTTATTAAAAATGCTACAGCCTTCAGGTGTAAAAAATATTTTTATAGCAGAAAAATAAGCCAAGTTTAACTTATATTCCTGGAATAAAAGTTTATCCTGACCCCCAGCTTTGGAAAACCGGTCAAATCCGTCACCTTTCTCACTCCCGTCAGCGATAGTCTGAAAAAAAGATTTCTTTATTACATTTGACTTCTTTTTGCATCTTTATTTTCATATAACTGTTTTTTTACAGGTTTTGCTGAGAGAAGGGAATGCCAAGGCTAATGCCATCGACAACGAGAATTCCACTCCTCTACACGCCGCCTCTCAAGAAGGAAAACTGAATGTAGTCGAGATTCTGGTGAGGAGAGATTTCCATTGACACATTACTACGATTATCAGTTGAGTAAGACGCGACGAAAGTTTGGTGCCCAGGTTTTAACGTTCAATTTGTGTTGTTGTCACGGGCAACTCGCTCCGTTTCCAGTGGCAACTTGTCGGCCTTTGACGTCATTGGCAGCAAAGAGCGGGAAATAGGCCACGTTCGATTTATCGATATTCTAAAATGGCTCCGAGGCTTTCAGGACAAACTTCTATCTTTGGTGTTGTTTTCTTTGTATCCAGGTCTCTTTTGGGAATTGAGAGACAAAGAGACTTTGTCCCGAAAACTTCGGAGCCGCTGATTTCCGTTTCGTAAACAGTCGGAGCCATGTTAGAATATTGATATACCGAACGTGGCCTATTGCAGGCGAAAATATTGTTACCATTGGAAACGAGGAAAGTTGCCCTTGGCAACAGCGGAATTTTATGTTCAAAACTTTTCACCAAAGCTCCGTCGTCGTAGTACTTTTGTATTTTGAAACAAATGTCCCTTCCCCNGTAAATTTTAAAAAAGGGTTTCCGTTTATGCAGCATCAGTTTTACAGTGCAGCAGATGTTACTGTTTTGGAGCCAGGAACATTGTTTCTGCTTTTCCAGGGGCATCGAGCTCTTTATGTGAGACCTTATTAAAAATGCTACCAGCCTTCACGTGTGAAAGATATTTTTATAGCAGAAAAATTAACCGAGTTTAACTTATATTTCTGGAATAAAAGTTTTTCCTCACCCCCAACTTTGGAAAATCGGTCAAATCCATCACCTTTCTCACTCCGGTCAGCGATATCTGAAAAAAAGATTTCTTAAATTTGACTTCTTTTTGCCTCTTTATTTTCATATCATTGTTTTTTACAGGTTTTGCTGAGAGAAGGGAATGCCAAGGCTAATGCCACCGACAACGAGAATTCCACTCCTCTACACGCCGCCTCTCAAGAAGGAAAACTGAATGTAGTCGAGATTCTGGTGAGGAGAGATTTCCATTGACACATTACTACGATTATCAGTTGAGTAAGACGCGACGAAAGTTTGGTGCCCAGGTTTTAACGTTCAATTTGTGTTGTTGTCACGGGCAACTCGCTCCGTTTCCAGTGGCAACTTGTCGGCCTTTGACGTCATTGGCAGCAAAGAGCGGGAAATAGGCCACGTTCGATTTATCGATATTCTAAAATGGCTCCGAGGCTTTCAGGACAAACTTCTATCTTTGGTGTTGTTTTCTTTGTATCCAGGTCTCTTTTGGGAATTGAGAGACAAAGAGACTTTGTCCCGAAAACTTCGGAGCCGCTGATTTCCGTTTCGTAAACAGTCGGAGCCATGTTAGAATATTGATATACCGAACGTGGCCTATTGCAGGCGAAAATATTGTTACCATTGGAAACGAGGAAAGTTGCCCTTGGCAACAGCGGAATTTTATGTTCAAAACTTTTCACCAAAGCTCCGTCGTCGTAGTACTTTTGTATTTTGAAACAAATGTCCCTTCCCCGCCCCCCCCCCCCCCCCCCCCCCCCCCCCCCCCCCC